ATAACCCTCCAGGAGGGTATTCGCATAATCGAGTTTCCACGTGGTCCCAATGTTCCAAACAATCCCAATGCACTTCACCAAAAATTTGTCCCCCCAACCAATCGCAAGTCCACACCGCCTCCAATCACCCTGTTCGCTCGTAATAGCCATACCGACATGCCGGTCCTGATCACAACAACTAGTCCCACCTAGTCTCAAAATGGACCCAGATGGTTCCAAGGAAGTCCCACACCATCGCCACCATACTAGGTGGTTCAGAACTCAAAACCGCTTGCACTGAGCGCCGCAAAAAAATAAAATAAAGGTAGCCCTGATTGAAAACCACATGTGCCGCAAGCCCAATAATCACTGTCGTGTGTACTCYGTCTGCACTTTCTTCATGCCGCCGGCCCACACACCRCTGTCGTACAATCCCAAATRTGCACTAGCGCCCATACTATTGCTGGATCATGAGAAAATAGCCCAACATCACTGCTGCATCACCGCGACACCATCACCAGCGTCAACGCGTTGCCGCCGCGTTATGCRGACARTATAACGTCAGCAMTAACTCAAAAAAAAAACACGTCGTCACTTCGACGACGCCTCCCTTGTGTCAAATGCCTTGCCATTGCAAAAAATGGGCAGCGCTTTTCGCGCCACCACCCAAAATACAYTGTTGCCACTGTGCAAAACGGCCAGCGCTTCCGCGCCACCACCTAGAACGCACTGCCGCCTCCGCAAAAAATGGGCAACACTTCCGCGTCACCACCCAAAACGCATTGCCGCTGCCGCAAAAGTTCGGCAACACTTCCACGTCGCTGCCCAAAACGCATTGCCGCCAGTTCGCTGTTGCTGCTATTCACATAGTGCCCGCCGACTCCTCCCTTCTTCCCTGTCGGCGCCTTTCCGCCCTACTGTCCCGTCGTCCGCTGCTCACCGTGCACACGCCCGGCCCCACCGTCTGCCCTGGTTCACCCCTTCGTTCTCACCTCCCTGCCTCCCGACACTCCGCTCCGTCTTCCATAGTGGTTGACCACGAACATCGCACGACACCCCGGTAGCGCACCACGCCACATGGAGTTCGACATACGGCGGGCAGAAAACGCAAATGGCCAAGCGCGGAGCATCGCCCCTAATTTATACATACCATCTTTGCGTTGGGGCCCCGCGGATCTTCTCGGTATCATTCTACTTTTAACAGATGTCCCGAAGGACTCTTCACAATCGACAGGCGCCTCTCGTCGTCTCCGAAGGCCGCTCGGTCCGCTCCCCCCCATCTGTCCACACGTACACAGACAAGGAACTGGGTGAGGGGGGGGTTTACCACTACTGCTACCCGTGAGCCTGCGCGACCCCTTAGTTATGCACGCTCCAATTCTAGCAGATGCCCCGAAGGACACAGCCTGATCCATGGGGATGACTGACCCCAGGCAATTCCGGACCTTTGGCCCGACCCATCACAGCCCTGCCATCTGGGTCCGAACCCGGTCTGCATTTCGACAGTTCAGGGATGTACCCACTGAGCTAGGCACTTGGGTGCCTACCATACCTACGGCACCGTGTCCCAAGCAAAACGGAGCCGAGTGCTGCTCCGGCGCCATTACAAAAACAGTTCGCAATCGCACTTTGGGCGACCCCGCGGATACACCCCATCCCGTGCGACCCTATACCAGCCCCGATATCGTGCCCCGCAGTTGGACGCGGGTATAATAAAGGTGAGAACTGACCCAAAAATAACAAGAGATATATGCCAAAGAATTAATAAAAAACCAGAACAGGAAAAAAAACAAATCCCGCGGATCGCGCCCGCCGCCACCCCTGCTAACAAAACCGAGGGGGATAGCCCTTCCGGGCCCTCAACCCCTCAGGTTTCGCTCCATGTCGCTCTGCTGCTGCCGCGCCGACGCCCATGGGCCTCGATCCCCGAACCTCCGTAGTGTCAGTCCACGTCGTAACCTATAGGGCTAAGCCCAAGCCTAGTACCAGTGGGCGCGAATCTCCTACTAAAGAGGTAGCGCACGGTTTTCAGGCCCAAGGAGACACCCTATGCCACTCCCCGGCCCACACTCGCACCAAAGGCCACCCAAAAAAAACTCGCGTCGGCCTACCGGCCTAGCCGCGGCTACCCGTCCTTAGCCAAATCCATCAGGTCCCATCATCTGGATTCCGCGTAAGTCCACACCGGCTTACTAAACCGTCCATCGTACCACGCAGAACCAGAGAAAAAGAGTGCCCATAGGTCAGTCAGTTTAATCAAAACAAATGTTATAACAAAATACGTCGACTGGAATCCACGCCGCGTCTTCCACTATGATTAAAGAGGAACAAAATCATGCGCGTCTCAAACTTGCGCGCCCACACACTTTCTAATCCTAGATGTTACCGCCGAACCTTTAGTCCGCGAACCCTTGCGACTCGCGGGGTCTTCCAAGTAATTATGAATCGGCCTATTTCTCTGTCAATTGCAAAAACCCAGTGCGAGTACCTTTGTAAGGGTATCCGCACCGACAACTTACCGGACCATATTAAGTGACTCCCTCGTCGCTTCGCAAAATCGAAAGACTATCAGATTACCCAAAATGCTGACGAAAAATAAGGACCAATCCGATTAGCCGACAGACCCGAGGTGGAGGCTTCCATCAAAACATGCCTTTGTAACTATATGCTGCTAGGGTTCCAATCCAGGTCCCCATCGCCGCTGTCAATAGGATACTGACAGTATAAGTTTCAAAGGCCTTCCCAATCATCCTCTCACCCCGGCCCTAGACAACCTTCGGCTTCTCGTTGGGTGCCCCTAGTCCTGGCTAAAACTAGGGACGAGGGCCCTAATCGAGACCTTTGAAGGCACACTCGCCTTCCTTCCCAAAAAGTTCCTCACAATCAAACACACATATGTATATATACATAATTTCCACTCGGCTCTTTCTGCAGTCTAGCACAAAAAGGCCAGGTCTCCATCATGGCCCACTGTAGCCTGGCTGATCAGACCCGGTCTACGGCCCCCCGCATTGTTATCTAGCGGCAGTACCCTCGCTGGTTGCGCAGCGATGAGCTCTCCCTTGATAACCATCCAATCAGGGTTTCCAAAAAAGACTTGACTCTTACACCGCAAAACAATTTTCCGGGGGCGGGCAACTCCCCGTAAACTCTTACTCCGCGGTCCCGCAACCAGGTTGCGCCGGCTAGCAGCCATCCACTGGGGTTGCGCCCTAGTGGCGCTAATCTTCTTTTCCGTTAGCTTGACCTTCCTTCAATATGTCTAAGAACTAGCATAAGTGGTTAAACGAGACGTCTCAAAACATAACCACGGGCCTACTGCGCGATTATGCAGGGGCCTGAAGGCATTTACCGGCTCTCCCTCGAAAGGCATGGCATCCTTCGCACAAATCATAAACATAATCATCACTAGGTCCACAAGGTCATGACCCCTGACTTGATCAGAGCCAGCAGTCACCCATCCTGAGACATCTCTCGCCCTGTACCCATTGCAACCTTCTCAAACACTTCAGGCAAACGTGACCCTTTTCGTTAGACTTTATCACTCATCAAACAACTCACCATGCCATTAATCAGTCCACCCACCTTTGGGGGTGAGTCTTCCTACAGCCCAAAACCACCCCCCCTTTTCCAAAAATCAAAGGAGATCTCATCACAAAGCAAAACACCCCCTCTTCAATAAATCACGAGGGGTCTCATCATAAAGCCAAACATCCCCCCCTTTTCCAAAAATCTAAGGGGGTCTCATTATGGAACAACCATCACTGAGAACCCATCTTATGGGTCCTCGTCACAGCTTAAGCAATCAACATCCAGCATGATAAAGCATTCGGGTCTCAAAGATCCATAAATCCCTTAGGATCCTTACGATCATTCACAAACAGACTGCACTCCCTCTCCTTATACTCTGCTCTATCACCTGCCCATGAGCAGGCCGCACGAGTATACCGAAGAGTAGACAGTTTTACATAATTCACATCCATTAACACGAAATGCATCCTGAACATCTCTCACACAAAATCATCATCCATCAGAGTAAGAACCACACATGTGAGTGTGAGAGTGATCGTCATACACAAAGAATAGTTTTTAGGAGAAAAACCTCGATTTAATATACACTCAGGGATAAAGAATGCCCCGCACACAAATGTGTCCAAACCATAACTCACTCGTCTCAAACAAATCCAACTCATACAAGTACTACCCTCAGAATACATGCTGGGTTTGTCTCTCAAAGGTCAGGGTGTAGGCCACCTATTTATGTACACACCCCATCTATCACGTCATGGCCCTCAAGATGACAAACTCAGTAGAAGTCCAAATTCAAACCATCTATCAGATGCAAGTGAACATCTAAGCCTAAATGATATCATCCAATCCTAAGCTCAGGTCCTATATACAACAAGCCAATCATATAGGTAAACCAGTCCTACTCACCCATCTCCTCCTGGTCTTGCCTATACAACTGAGCCTTACCCCTATCTGTCAATCTCTCCACTTTCCTACCTTGCCTATCATACACCCTGCCATCCTCCTCTGTAACTTTCCCTTCAACCTTGTCCTTTAAAAATTTAGGACATTGCAAGGATCGATGACCCTCTTTCGTGCAGAAGAAGCACGATGTATCAAACCACTTCCTGGATTTCTTCTTCCCGCTTTGAGATCCTGGCGATGACGGCGCTTCGCTGGCCTCCCTGCTCAACTCATGACTCTGAGGCATATCCAAAGGCTCCCCTCCTGTCTCAATCCCCATCTCTCTCTCAAGAGGCTCCTCTATCCTCCGCTCAGGCGAAAACAAACTCGCCTCCTCCTGCATAGTATGCATTGCCTCAAGGAGCACGTCCATGGATCCCTCTGTTGAGCCTTGAGTTGGCTCACTGTTGGATGGGGGTAGCCCCTCCTTAATTGCCAATGGCATGACTGGATCCACCGCTACTATAGGTAGTGTCACGAGTTCAGTAGGGGCTCTGAACTCGAAGGCCTCTCTCTCTGCCTCCCTCTGGGCTCTCGCCTCCTCGGGCTCCAGGATAACTCTCCCCATGGGTGATCCCCGACGAGGCTCTGCTGCAGATGGCTATCCTGGCGACCCCTGTCCTGGCTGCCTCTGCTCTCCTTGTCGGTTGCTCTCGGCCTTATCCGCTCTCCCTTGACGCTGCTGCCTCAAGTCCTCAATAATGGCAACCTGACTAGCTACCAGAGGTCTGAGCTCCTGGATCTCTACCTCCATCGTCTCTAAACGTAGCCCATGGCCCTCTTCCTTCATCTTCTTTCCCGCCAGATCGCTTTCCACCATCAGATACCGATTGAAACAAGTCTTTGCTAGGAACTTGATCTTGCGATCCAGCCTCTCTTCTGCTTTCCTTGCTACCTCGAATCCAGCTCTTGTTGGAGAAGGAAGCCCCTCCGCCCTTTGCTCCCAGAAGTTTCTCCACATCTCTGGGATTTCAGGGGTCTTAGTTGGCGCGCTGGGTGACTGATCCGGGAGTGCCCCTGCTGCCTCCAACCTCTGCCTTTCCTGCTGCTGCTCCGGAAGTGCCCCCGCTGCCTCCAACCTTTGCCTCTCTTGCCATATCTCTTCTATTCTCCTGCTTCTTCTTGCCCTCTTTTCCTCAACTGTCTCGCCAGTTGGTGCCCTCTCCCTCGTGCGATGGTCGACCCTCTTTGGGATCTCTGCCTCCACCTCGTTCTCAGGCTGGCACGGCTCCCGACGCGGCTCTGCAGGTGCTGGCTCCTCCAGGTCTGGGTGCTCCAGGGCATGAGCTGCTAGGTGCCTGTCAATCAAAGCCAAGGCTTTTCTCCTTACAGTTGCAGTCTCTCTCCTCCTTTCTGCTCTCCTCTCTGGCGAAGGAGCCTTTTCTGATGAGGGCAATGGGGCCTCCTCTCTCTGCAACCCCTCTGCTGCCTGGCGAATGCTCTCTGGTGTATCCCCAGGCCTCAAACCTACCGCTGGCATCTGAGGGGGCGTGTCCTCTCCAACCTCTATCGCTTTCTTTCTTGCACGTCTCCCCTCATCGCCCAGCCCTCTCTCTCACTGAGTATCTCGGACCTCCTCTCGTGGCGTCTCCTCTCGTGGCACCTCCTCACATGGCACCTCCTCACGTGGCACCTCCTCTGCCTGTCCTCCATGCTCCTCGCCTCGGGGCGACGCTCCCCATCGAGAGACGTCCAGATGCGCCTCCAACTCCCTCAATGGCCCCTCAGATGTTGGCGTCTCCTCCTGTGTGCGCACTGGCGACTTCCTCAATCCACCCTCGGTAAAATGACGGAACTCCACCGGTCCAATCCCACACTCAGGATACGCCCCTCGCTCCTCATCCTCAGAGTCCGACTCCTCTTCTCTCCTGGCTAGGGCCTTCCGTCCCCCTCGAGATGGCCTTGCCTCACTGGGCTCAGGGTCCTCTGCCTCCTGCTCCTCTGACGCCTCTCAACTCGGGGCCAAGGCGACTCTGGCCGTCGAAAGGCCTCCCTCAAGTGTGCCCTGCAGCTCTCCCAATCCCGGGCCATATCTCTGATATGCCTAGCCAGTGGCTTCTCCTCCTTTCTGGTCCAGAGGGGTAGCGTCCTCGCCCAGTCATCTCTCGGTGTACCCTGCCCCTGCATGAACCACTCAAAGATGGGGATAAAGTCCGCAGCATTTTCGATCTCTAGGCGAATCGACCTGCCATCAGGTCCCACAGACGAGGGTCGTAACTGCATCCTCATCTCCACCTCTGGCCTCATTGTTGCTTCCCTACGGATCCGGGCAATGGGTTCCTCGAACCTGCTGGCTCCCCTCAATCTCTCAATCGCCTGGGCCACAGTCCAGCCCATACGCCTGGCATGGTCCCAAAAACTGTCCTGGAATCGCTCGATGTCCCTATCATCGTATACCGGAGTACCCTCTCGATGGCGAGTCCCATGCCGCTCATATCCTCCTGATGCCCCCAACGGCCTTCGTGGCGGCCGTCTCCCCTTCCCTCCTCTTGGCATGGCTGTCTTCGTAAAGTCAGACCTGCACAACAGGCGAAGGAGACAACAGGCACACATTGGGTTAAGCAAACAGGTGATAATCAAGGCAAACTCAGACCAGACCATACTCATGCAGCATGCAACCTATCTGACCTACACATCCTATCACTTTCATTCTAAAGGAAGTCAAAACATCTCTCTTACCTCTTCTCTTGCCACAAATTTCTTTAGCTGTGTTCCAGATACCCAGTCCTTCCATTCAGTCCGATTCAACTCTTTGATCTAGTACGCTCCAAAATCTCCACACCGCACGATCCGGTAGGGACCTAACCACCTCTTGTCGAGCTTTCTGGACCATTGTTTCTCCAACGATGAATCGTACAGGAGTACGACGTCCCCAACTGCCAAGGGTACTTTCCTTAACCGCGCAGACTGGTCCCAGTGAACCTTATCATCCATACGGCTCCTCTCCACTTGATTGGACGCTTCCTGGATCCTGTCCTCTATCGCCCCCACCTGACGCGCTCGGATATCGAGTAACTCTTCAAAAGACAGGTTAACTTCCATATCCTAGCGCCTCCAGGTCTTAAGAAAGCTCTTGATTGGGAAGGTAGCATGCCTTCCATACCACAACGTCGCCGGTGCGTACTTGGTGGATCTTTTCACTGTAATGTTCTCGACAAAGAATGCCGCCCTTAGGTACCTTGGCCATTGATTAGGCCTACCGTCGGTCCACTTAGCCAGGAGGTTCGTAATGGTACTATGCCCTCTCTCCACTGGGGCATTTGCCTGGGGATGCGCGGCCGTGGTGTAGTTGGCTACTACACCATACCTTGATAGCAGTTCTTGCACCTCCTGGCAGGTAAACTCCGATCCCCTGTCCATTACGAACTCCATGACGAAAGGATAACGCAGGTAGTATTCCTCGATGCAATTGACCAAAACTGGCCCAGTCTTTGTACGAATGACACGTCCGTCTACGAAGCCAGACAGGTTATCGCGCGCATCGAAGATGTAATTATAGCCCTGATCCCCAAGCGGTATAAAAAGTAGATCGAAATGCACTACAGCCCCCACCTCTCACTCTAACCTTGGATGTAACGACTCTCCTTTCCTCAAACGGGATCTCTCTTGGCAGGGCACGCAAGATCGGCAAAACTTCCCAATCATGTCCATCATTTCATCCCAGTAGTACAACTCACTTATTTTGGCGTATGTGGCTTGTATCCCTCGATGCCCTCCTGCAATGCCATCATGAAGCGCTGCTATGACGTCAATCTGACGATTCCTACCGCAGACGACTTTCCTGGGATTCCCCACTTCTCTTCTTACGAAAAGATGGTCATCTCGCACCAAATAGCGCTGCATCATCCTCTGAGCCCTATCGCTCGCATCTCTAAGTCGTACTTCGCATGATAGAAGGGGTCCCAACTCCAGGTAGATCCCTTCATACTCCTCTGCACGAAAGGCCTCTTTGATCTCACCCTCTTCAGACTCGTCGTCCTGGCTTTCAGACACCTCGTCCTCATTCCTCGTCGGATTCAATGAGTCAAGGCTTTCCTGTAGTAGTGTGTTGACGAGGAGATACATTCCCCCCATCAGTTCCTCATGCCTTTTTATCTGGCCTGGCCCTTCCTCTATTGCCCTCATATCTTCCACTAAGCTATGCGATCCAGCCTACGACAGCTTCATCATCCACTGAACATCTCTACCACCCCAGGGATCCTCTTCCTCAAAAGGCTTAAGGACTAGTTCCGCCTTCAGTTTATATCCGCTTGGCGCTTGCCAGATAGGATGACCTACACAACTAGGTACTTGCGGCGACCACTTGTTAATGCGGAGACGAACATCTTCCTCCTGGTCCAGAAATCCATCAACTGGGGGCGTATTCCCCACCGCCTCTCCTTCTTGACTATCCCAGTTGATACGACTTAGCCCGTCCGCCCGGTTCTTGCTCCCAGGGATCCGTTCCAACTCGAAGTTAAACATTCAAATGTACGTCAGCCACCTGGCAACTGTTGGATCCGATGGAACATAATTCCTTAGAGAGTAGGCCAGGGCAGTGGGGTCCACTCTCAATATAAATCTTCTGCCGAAGATGTAGTTTCGGAAGATTTGCAGACAGTGGAGGACGGCAAGGGTCTCCCTCTTGAACTGAAAATAGTTCCTCTCGGTCGTACAGAGGATCCGACTCTCAAATCTCAAAGGTCTTTCCTTTCCCTCCGTGTCTGCTTGGATTAAAACCCCTCCTAAGGCAATCGGTCCCGCATCCATTTCCACGATGAAGGGTCTCGTTTCCGTGACGTCAAGTTTGACGCTCTCAATACCAAACCCCCTTCTCGGAACTCTTCCTTCATTCTGGTCACCACCTCTTCTTGCTCTTCGCCCCAAACCCATTCCTGATCCTGACGAACTAACTTTCTCAGGTGCTCAGTCTTAGCGGCAAAGTTCTTGACGAAGGCCCTCCAAAATCCGCACGTCCTAAGGAAGCTCCGGACATCAGGTTACTGAGTGGAATGGAACTGACCACTCAGTAATCTTGTTCGTCTTCTTTAAATCCGGTCGTCGGCCCTGCTCACTGCGGACGAATCCTAAGATAGTAGTTTCCCTCATGCAGTGTCTGGATTTGGCCCCGCTTGCCGTGAGGTTATGCTCATCGAGCCGGCTCAGGATTTTTTCGAGGTCTTGGATATGCTTCCAGACAAAACGTCTTACCCCCGGCAAGACCTCGTCAGTCTCCATTACTGTCGGCCCCTTCACTGCCAGATCATCGATATATGGCTGCGTGATATGAGGGCTGACCGACTGCATAGCTCGTATCATAGCCCGTTGGACCATCGCTACCGCATTGGTCCATCCTTGCGGAGCGACGCTCATGTGGATTAATCCCCGAGGCGTATGCATAGCTGTTACTGGCATGTCCGGTGGATAGACCGGAAATTGGTCATACCCCGAGTAAAGGTCTATAAGCGAGATTATAGGTCTTCCAACACAGGATTCTGATAGCGCGTCCGCGTTGGGCAACCCTCCCGCATCCCGCACTGTCACCTCATTTAGTCTTTGCGGGTCTTGCACCCACCGCAGCGTCCCGTTAGGTTTGATAAAACAAAACCACGGGGACGCATACGGCCCACTCGAGTAGTCGGCGATATGCGTGCGTATCTTGTCGTCAAGATAATCCACCACCTTCTTCTCCTCGTCAGGATTAGGATATCGCGTCCCTCTTAAGTTCCACGGTTCATGTCCACATCCAATCTGCCACACTCCTCGTCGCTAAACGCATAGGCGCGATGCCTCTTCTTCATTAACTCCACCATCAAGGCTCGTTCCTGCGGCAACAGGAAGTCGGACTCTCCTATGATCAGCTTCTTCTCGTTCCCTTCGTTGATACAGCATGGCCCTGCTGAGGTTCTCTCCTTCATTCGTCGTATCAACCCCCATTATCGTTCATAGTACATCTCCTCGTCCTCAGTAACGAGGACGGGGATTGGGCGGCACTTCTGGTCTACCGTCTTGTACCGCATTTGGGAACCCTGCTTGAGCCGCCCCCTAAAAAAGGCCGACTCACAGATTGCGCCTGCATCAACGCCGGGTTCCTCCTGCCATCTGGAAGACGATATACCAGCTCCAATCTCCCTGCCTCGGAGCATTCCAGGAACTGCTCCCTTAATGCCTGGATGGCATCCGGATTTGCCATCTCATGTGCGGCCACCAAGTCCATGGTCTTTCCCACGTCCGACAAGCTGAGGGAGAATGCTTCAACCCTCTCTTCCTCTTCTGGCTCCGCCTGGAGCCTCCGGCGTTCGCCCTCCGACTCCTCAATTGTGAAAGACTCTGGATTGGGCCGGTTCCTTATGCTTTTTGGCCCCGTGTTCCTGCAGGTGATTACTTCATAATTTTCGCAGGCAGGATCACACAAGAGAAGGATCAAGGTCCCATCGTGCTTATTAAATATCACCGTCTCTGTCCTGCTCAGAAAGGACCTCCCCAAAAGAATCCCGTGATCCACGTCCGGCATGACGAAGAAGCATGCCTTGGCCTTTACTTTCCCAACCTCGATGAACACATTCGAGGTTGTCCCACAGAACACGACCTTGCTTTTCAATTGTCTTTCGTGTGAGTTACTCCAGTGTCTTGAGAACTTTGTCCATCTCCCGGCGGAGCTTAAAGATTTATTCCTTTAGATCCGTCGTAAACCACGCTCGATTTCCCGGTGGGGGAAAATCATTTCGTCTTTGCTCCCACAATGGTCTCGAGAACCACCTTGGAGATTCTGACTCCACCCTTCTTCTCTGTAACGATGGTGATCTTGACTTATGTCTTCTATCTCTCAGAGTTTTCGATCTCCCCCTTCTTGAGCGCTTCCTCCCTTGAGATCCGGATGATGATGATGAATGTTTGCGCCGCCTCCTGTCTGACGATGATCGCGAACGCGACATCTTCCTTGAAGCTTGGGAACGTCAGGTAGATAGTTTTCGTACTTGAAATCGATAAAAAAACTTACAACGTCGTTGATTGTCTTCAGTACACACCAGGTAAGTAAAATAAAATCTCTAAAAATCGCTAAGTAACCTCCACGCTATAGTAATCTCCAATAAATCGTCACTATGATATCATAAAAGAAAAGGGTTACGAATGATGAGAGAGAGATAAAGACAGTGAATGTAAAATGGAAGAGTGACAGGTCTATACAATGCCAATCATCGTGGGTACCGCCCGCAAGTTTTAAGCATCGTGCATAAAGATAAACACATGCAAATGTAGACAGAACGTTGGAGGTTTTACTTTCACAGCATACACATGCAAATGTAGACAGAACGTGCGAGGTTTTACTTTCACAGCATACACGTAATTTCCATGGCATGCGACACCAGTCACGATTACCCTTTTACCTCACTGCTCAGGTAATCATTTCAGCCACTATCCTCAGTATTTATACCCTTCGTTCCCAGTCCTTCTTCGCCACTTTCTCTATCCTTGCAGTGTACTCATCATCTATCCTCAGGATCTCCCGCAGTCGCTCTCTGTGTTATCCTTGTCATCGTCGATTTCCAACATGCCTTGAATCTGGAGCTACTTTCATCATATCTAATGATTATGTGTGTGTTACTCACGTACTCTCCTCTCTGTCGGAGTTCCGTATTACTGTGGTACTTGCCTCTAACTCCGCTGGTTTTTTTTACCGACTCGAATCTGGCCTTGTTTGTTGTTCTGTTTTGATTTTTGATTTTTTGATTTGTGATTTTAGCTTTATATTCCGAGTCGTGTGAATCTCTTGACGTATTTTATTTCGAACTTTCAGTTTTATATCCGTCGATTTAGTGCTTCTTGCTTTTCCAGATACTCCTGGAATTTATTTCTGCTTCTACCCGAGGACCGGTCCAATGCCCCCACTTCTTTTTGGGATCCACTTCCACCCGAGGACCGGTCCTTCATTTTTCCAAAAGTCCCGGTTCTACCAGAGCTAGTTGTAGGTAGTCCGCAATTTTGCCAAGGACCGGTCCCCAAATTTTTTTTGCCCCTGAAAAACCCACTTGCGTCCGGGTCGCCCGCCGCCAAAAATGCAACACCTTAACACAGACGCCGAAGCCCACTATACCGCAGCCTAAGGGCTGTGAACTATACCGCAGCCTAAGGGCTTCGAATAAAAAAGGAGCCCCTGGGTATTGTCTACCACGTGGGCGAGGGGAACGCAGCCCTAAGGTAGCCAAATCAATGAGACTAAGAGCTAACACGAGTGAGAGAGAGAGAGAGACAGACAGACAGACAGACACAGAGAGAGAGAKAGACAGACAGACAAACAGACAGACAGACAGAGAGAGAGAGAGAGAGAGAGAGAGAGAGAGAGAGAGAGACAGACAGACAGACAGACAGACAGACAGA